ACAATTTGTGTTCTATTTGTATTTCTTAAGCTTCTCTGTGTATTTTAAGTCTTTTTTTCCAGCCTTATCTGGGTTCTGTTATCTCATTTTTCTCTTTTATGATACCACCTGAACTGCTTTTTCCCTCTTTTATTATCACTGAACTAATGTTTACCTTTCTTTCAGTTCACTGCAGGTGTTGAGGGGCTTACACTCAGGAGGATAAATAACTGCTCATCTCTGAGATGTAAAGAATATAGTCTCTAAAAGTTTCCTTTAGATTTCTTATTTCTTATCTTATTCAGTGGAAGGGAACAAAAGAAATACTTTATTTTATACTTTCCCCTTGCTTCCTGGCTCCATTCAGAAAAATTCCTGTTTCAGTTGCCAAGTTACTTTGCTTGTATTTTCCAAGGTGATCTTGGAATATAGTCTGAAGCTATTTAGTCACAGTAGAAAAAGGTTTAATTATTTGATTTTTTATTAATATTTTAGAAACATTGCTATGTATTTTTAAAATGTTTAACTTAAAATTATTTTTATGTAGTTGTTAACAAAGAATGCAGGAACTATGTATGTAATGAGTTGGGCAGATATTCATATTATTAGGGGATAAAAGCAAAGGATGATACTTGTATTTTTTACTTCATATACATTGGTACTTTTCATTATGTGTTTACAATTTTTTATAATTAAAAATTACTAAAAATGAAAGTGTTTAATGGTAAAATGGAGTAAACTAGTTGCAAAACTATTAAGTAGATAGTTTCAAACATCAATTTAAAATTTTATTTTTGAATACCTTTCAATAACTAGACATTCTTAAGTAATGTTTATTTTACTTTATTGAATTTTCTGCTTTCCTAAAAATGTTTCATTTTAACCCTTGGTTTCTATGTGTTTTATGTAGAGCGTAATTAAATAATTCTTTGATCATTGAGGATAATCTAGTTTTTTATAATCCTCCTTGTGGCCATCATATTTAATTCTTCAATCTCTTATATTAGTTGTCTCTCTAGTCAGTTGGCAAACCCTATTGATTCTGTCTTCTTATTGCTTGTCACATTGCTACACTCCTGTGCAGAGTTACTGCTGTCACTTTTTGCCAGGCTTTTCACTACCTGTCAAGGTGATGGGAATAGCTTCCCATCTGCTGTGTCTTACCCAATCAATTCTGTCTACATGCTGCTTTTATTAATTTTTTTAAAAGCTCATTTCTCGTATTTCCACAGAAGAATTTAAGGTCTTCTATCTTATGGCCCTAATTAACTTTCTAGGTAACTGCTCACTCCTGCATTACTTTTCTTTAAGGCATAATTTGCCCTTTCGGAATATACTACAGTAGCTTTCCTCAACTGTGCTTTTGTTTATACGGTTCTTAAATTCAATATAATCCCTTCCTTCTTAAGTCTATTAAGAACTTTACTCTTTTATTATGGTGTTTTATTACTGCATCTGCCTTTATTTTTAGGTTTTTTTTTTTTTTTAGTACCTTTAGTCTAGATTTTAAGCTCTTGAGGTTAATGTTTCTATTTCATATAATTCACAGTATCTGCCATAATGCCTCTGAACTGTCAGATTATAAATGCTAATTGAATTATAAAGTTTACTTAGTTGTATAATTATCAAATGCAATAAAAGTGAAAGTTTTATTGACTTCAGAAAGTAGCCTTAAAACACTTTGTGGAATAAAGCTCCACTAAAGGCCTTTTTTCTTTCTCTTTTTTTTACATTTAAGTCTCATTTCAATTAAATGAGGAGTCTGATTTTTAATTCCCAGAGAACTGAGATTTTGCTATATAGTAATCCTCCCTTCATCTGTAAGACTATATTCTAAGACCTCCAGTGGATGCCGATAACCATGGATAGTGTATGTATCATGCATCATATATCATAGTATACCTATGATAAAGTATAAGTCAAAACTAGGTACAATAAATATAATAATTATAAATAAATTTAACTAGAGCCATTTAAAACTCATGAATTATTTCCAGAATTTTCCATTTAATATTTTTGGACTACTGTTGACCATGGGTAACTGAAACCACAGAAAGCAAAACCACAGATAAGGGAGACTACTGTATTTTATTTAGGGGATGAAAAAATAGACTACATAGCCCAAAATTAACTTAGCATAGGTAAGAAGTACAGAATTATTATAAATGTCACTTTTAAAGTGCATGGTTATACAAAATTTAGTCTCCATAATAGGTTTGAGTATCTATTGGGCAATAATTGGTAGAATAATAACCTCCTCAAATTAACAACAACAAAAATCTGGAAAAGCAAATAAAATTTTCATATCTTGTTAAGCTCATTTTTGGTTTTTAAAATAGTTCTATTGTTTTGAAGATTTGATGCAATTAAGTACATAGAAATTGATATGTATGTTTGTGATTTAGCATATGGTTGGAAAAATACAGTTTGAAGAAAGATCTCATATCTCTCTTGATTTTGCATTTTTGATTTTCATTTTAACAGGAAAAACTAGCATATATATTTTTTAAAGCAAACTTACTTGAAATAAAGTGAAAAGTTTGCACACTGGAGTGAAGCCTATCATGAAGAAAATAAAAAATATTTTTATTTTATTTCATCTTTTTTACAGACATTTAATTAAAAAAATCATTTAAACTTCTCATTCTTAAGCTGAGGTCAGTAATTACAAGTATTTTTGTGACCTGTTTTTGAAAGCTGAATTTTTAACACATAAATATTATCTTAGTTTACAGATTACATGTTACTTAGCACTTAAAAATTAATAGAAGCTAATAGTAGGTATGAATTTTCTTTGTTGTAAATCAGTTAGTGCCCTTCTGTATATTTGAAAGATCATTACAGATGAGCAAACATGCTTGTTAAATGTCTGCTCCAATGTCAAGTATAGCAATAAGAGCGGTTTAAAGGGCAATGTTATAATATTTGCCATTTATTTCTTATTTTGTTTAATTTCTTATTACAGACGACAAGAAGGCATGAAAGGAAGTTAGGCAAATATATTAGAGATCTCTGTTTTTTTGCATAGTTCTTTGGCATGCTTATAAACCTGGAGAGTAAAAATGTTTAAAACATAAAGGCTTGTTTTTTTAAAAAATATGAAACCTCTAAAAATAGTCTAATTTTTATTGATGTTATAAAACTATATATTAAAGTTTTAATATATGCTTGGGAGTCCAAGTATAAAATTCATTTTTAAGTTTTTAAATGAATATATTATTTTTAAACGAATATAGCCTTTTTAAGTAAATATATTGCTGTGCCAAATATATTTAGCAAATGAAAATTTTCTTGATACCTTTATGCATGAAGTGTTAATTTCTTCTCTTCAGGGTTTCAAAAAATGTCTTACTTGCTTTATGCTACATATTATTAAATTGAAGCATTTATTTCCATAAAACAGTAGAAAATAAGGCAGAAGGAAAGTGGGCCTTTACTAAGATTTGACAATATGTTAACATTCTTATCAGAAGTAAATCACTACTTAATTTGCCGTGTAACCTCAGTGAATTCGAGCTGTTGCATGGTGTTTATTTCTTCAAGGATTAGGGCATTTAGCAAACTAGATTGGATGAATCTCATTTATTTGTATAAAAATGATGTATCATTGAATTATTGGATGTAATTTCTTTATCTAAAAATGAGTTGCTACTTGGCTTAGTGAATACAGTGTTAAAAAACAGAATAAAAGTCGTCTAGTTAACATGCTATAACATATATTTTTGTTTTAAGTACCTTACTGCTAATTTTCTGATACAGTGATATTAGTACTCATTGATAGATTATTACATTGTAATAAGTGGAAAATGTTTGATATGAGATTCTCAATCCTATAATCTATAGGTAGGATTGGTAATTTAATAGCTTTTCATAGTGACTTGAGGACTGGAAAGAAAGATGGTAGGGTAGAAAAAGTGACAAGATTTATTGTTGCTTTAATGATTTTTGGAGTGGAAATAGAACTGCTCTGTTCTGAAATACTTGGGAGCTATGATTGCGTAGGAACATTGTGTAAATTGTATTACTGTAAAGTGTCATGTACCTAAAATAAGAAATAGTTGGCTTTGTTAGGCTTTTCTACAATGACAGAAAGTCTTTTTCCCCTTCATGGTATTTAGATTTGGATAGTAACTTATATTATTCAAAGGGCTGAGCTGAATAAAGTTCAGAATTTGGTTTCTTTTAACGTACTGGGTTTTACCAATTTATTATATTAATCCCAGAGCATTTGGCTTAGATTCAAATAAAGTAAGGAAGGAAGAAAGAGGCTGGTGCTTTAGTATTATTCCTTCCCTTTATTGTAGGTTCATTTGTATATTATAGGCATACTAGCCTTAATCTTAGAAAATCAATTATTTTTTGTAGTAAACTTGCATTTTAAAGTTTCCCTATCTTGGTGTGCATATACACGATTGTTTTTTGGCTCATGGATTTTAGAATCCTGTTAAACAATATAATTTCTACATTCAAAAGGAAGAAAAGTTTCATACATAGTTCATTATTTTTGATATGTCAAATATAATAGTAAGTATACTATACCAGGAAACATAATATAGCATATTAGTACATAAAATCTTGGATTGTTTTGATTGTTTTGAGTCTATAATTTTGGCTTTATGTTAAAATCCTATTCCAGTTATCACCATACAAATATATCTGTATTTTGTGGCTTAGAAACAATATACCTTTATATAAAAAAAGAAAGCAAGGATACCTATGTCAGTTACATTTTAAAGTTATGCACTGTTTTAAGGCTATGTATTTATTCTTTAGAAAATATGACTTACATGAGTATCTGCTGATGGACATAATATTGACAAAATATACACATGATATTACTTTAACAAACTGCCATGCAACAAATACATTAAGTAATGAAGAAATTGAATATATATGACCTAATCTAATTGACATTCACATTGAAAATTTACAACATAACCAATACTTAATTTTTTTCTTATATTTGGCAGTAATTTCATTTTTTTACAAGTTAAATTTAAAACTCATCTGAATGTGGATTTGGTGAAACTTAGACTTTTCCCTAGTCTGTGACAACCTGTGGTACCAAACATTTCTCTCTTATTTCACTATCTTCAAAGGTAATTTTTTTATTTCTTTTAGGATCTATCCAAGAGTTGTGTATTACAGCGTTATTAGGCATGGGATCAGCTTCCACTATGGAAACAACTCTCTTTTTCATTTTACTTTTCAAGACCTTTTGAAACTTTTGTCTAGTGAATGCATATAATAGAGGGTGAAATATAGTTGTTCCATAAGCCATGACTAGAAAACACAATCTTAATTTTACTAAAAGGTCACTTGGGCCTAAACATAAAATAGTGGTATTTAAAACAGAAATTGGTGTCCAGCAGAGAAGAAATGTAGAAATAATCAATAGAGACATTTTGAAGACTCTTTTTTGTCTTTCTCGTCGTTCACGGTGTCGTTTCACAGCTCGCCGGAGGGCAATTATTACAGAAACTGAAGTTCTTACACCAAAGACCACATTTCTCCCACCACTGCTTTGTGACATGTCTGTAGTCTCATGTTGTGTGGTTAAAGAAATTGTCTTTTTCTTTCTTGTTTTCTTCTTCTGCCCTGTTGAAAATCTTGTTCCTATTCGAATATTAAGGGCTTGAAGTATTTTGGTGTATGTGATTAACATTACTACAACAGTGAAAAAGAATATTGGGATCTGTACTAGCAGGTGATAATACATTCCCAGTTCAGTGTAGTATTCATTTGTACTGACACATAAAAGTGTCCTGTTTTCCCACGTAGTTCCACTTTGAAGACTGAAAAAATTTACCTCAATAAAAGGAATCAGGAAAGAGAAAAAAGAAAAAATCCAAATAGATGTCATTAACATTACAGCTCTGCCCATTGTCAGAATTCGGTTTGCAGGTTTCACAGAGATGTCATATCTGTCCAAAGTGATAGCAAAAACGTTGATTGCTGTTGAGACACTTGCAAAAGATACACAAGCCTCGTGGAAACAGCAGATGAGAGCAGTGTTACTCTCCAGTGAAAGCAGAAGGATAACTATAGTTAGAGGAATACATCCCACACAAATTATTACATCAAGTACATGAAGATTCATTGTAATAATGTTACTGACAGAGTTGATTAAGTTGGATTTCATGCAGTAAAGTACCAATACGGTGAGGTTGCTGCCAAGTCCCAACACAATTTCTAACATAAGAAATCCGGTGAGAGACACTTGAAAGCTTAATGGGTATGATAGTGGTTGGTACATATTGGTGTTGATGTCGTCAATGTCATCTCGCACTGTAATGTTAGATTCAGACTGCATGTTGATTTCCAGAATGGGAGAAAAACACATTCTTTTGGAGCAGTTGGTTTTTCCCCTAGAAAGTGAAATAGAATAAACTATTTGATATTTGGCAATTTAAATGACGTATAAACCATGTGTTCCTTGTTAAAAAAAACTTTTTAGTCTGTACTGAGTTTAATTTATAAACTATTAATGGAAAATTTAGAATTAAAAAACATTAAGGTTGTATTGTTTTGATGTAAATGACAACTGTTTTCCTTTTGTAGAAATAACTCTGTGGGGGATTTCCCCCCTTTAATGCAAAATTATTTAATATACTAAAGGGTATTCCTTCCTCATTTGAGTTTTTCAAGCTCATTGAGGTAAAGTATATTTTTATGTAATAAAACTACCCAGTATATAAAACTAATTTTGACCCAGTATTTTAGAGTAGGTAAGAAATAAATGATATTTTAATGTGCTCTAGCATAATGAGCTCTGGTGTAATTATTCCTATGAGATTGCAAATGAACAGGACAAATGTTCATTTCAAATGATTAATGGTACAGAGTACTAGTTTGATATTGAATTTCATATTCGGAAGTTTGTAGTGTTATTGGGGATATTTGAAGTTATTTATTATAGCAATAGCAAATGATAAGTATTTCATATATCACAGTTAAAATGTTCACAGAATTTTACAATTGGCAAACACATAAAAATTAGAAGAAAAGGAACTTTATGCTAACGTGAAAAACCACAAAGCTGGTAAAAGAGCATTAATCACCCCTTCATGATTTATTTTCTGACCACACCCTCTTGTATATTGTGGAAGGAGAAAATTGAAATTAAATATCATATTAACAAATAGCCATTTTTGAAGTAGTTTAAAAGAATAATATCAGTTGATTTTATTTGTTTAAACTGAGTTTTTAAAGTAAAAGATGAAATTTTAGGGGGCAAGAATATGTGAAGCCCATTTTTTGAGGAAGCCTTTAAAGTTACACATTACTTGTGAAACCTTTTGTATATACATCATGCATAGTATAATTTTGAAGAAAATTAAAAAAGCAAACTCTTTTGCTAATTCATGCAAATCTATATTTTAATTTATAGAGGTTTAGAGTAATTTATAAAAAGAATGTCCGATGTTCTGGGCTAAATTATCAGTAATCAATATATACAGTTTAAAATATGCAATCATACAACCAACTATATTTTACATTTCAAGTATAGCATTTCAACTGTAGAATCATATTCGAACATACATTATAAAAGTTAATAATCTTTAGAACTCATATTAACCTTTACTTGATGTTACCTTTGACAAGTTTAAAATACAGTTTTATTTATGCATGTTATTTTGGGGATAGTATTTTAGAAACTCAAATGATAACATTTCTTTGGAGTTGATATAAAGTCTAACTAGAGAAATACTTGACTAAATGAAGGTCTTAGCTAACATTAAATCCTATAAAAATGGAAAATTTTAAGTGTGCCAATTTTCTGAACTGACAGATTAAACATCAGGTCTTATGTCACATCGGCTAGGTTTGTAATTAAATAAACCAGAAATGTCAAGTTAGATGATCATTAAGTAAAATGCATCTCCTGTGGGGCCAGACTCCTGTGTCAGTGTTAAATAGTGTGGTGGGGTGCACGCATCTTCTGACCTACCTGTTTGCTGTTGCCTTTATCGGCCTTTTGGCTCACTATGGCAGTTTTTCATAAATTGATACATGAGGTCATTAACAGATTTTGACATGAATTTTTACCTGACAGCAGTGAAGTAGCTGTGTTTTATTTCATGTCTTGTAGGAATTCTCTCATTTTCTCTCCAATACTTCAACTGCATGAATTATGAGATTTAGTTGGCTGATAGATTTTTAAAAAGCAGTACATATTTGGGTTTGTTTTGCCTTAAAAAGCCACGACCAAGAGAAACTTCCTCAAATGACAGGAATCATGTTTCCCTTTGAGGGAATATATGAGAGAGTCTCTTTATTTTCCAGAATATGTGAAAACAAAAAAGGAAACATAAGGTTTCTAGCTTCTAAAATATATTTAGACATCCTTTTGTTACAATTTTAAATCTGTTTCTATAGCAGTCCTCATCATTTTGAAATGATTTCTCAATCCCATAACTTGCTTTATATTATAAATCCAGTCCATGTTCTTTTGATAAAAACCATCTGCTACTTAATTTGGTTTGTTTTCATTAGAAGAGGATACATAATTGGTCATAAAACTCAGATGGAAAAATCCATTACTACATATCAATTGATAAGAATATCTGAATATCTAGTGCAGAAAACACTTGTTAAAGCTTCATTTTGCTAGCTGGTAAAGTATGTCATTTTCCTTTTGGAAATTCATGTTTCATTATTTCTTCAAGAATCAGTAGCTTCCACAATTCTGATATGTTAAAGTATAAACAACTTCTTTAAAAATGCTCACCATTTTGTTTTCAGGCTTTTATGGTTGTATTGTTTTTCTTTTTGTGGTTATTTTGTGTGGTATCTTCTTAGGATGCTGTCTGTTATATTCCAACAGTAATGTAGATTTATTCCCTGGGTTTAACTCCTTAATGTCTTAAGATCGTGTATTATAGGAATATCTTGCAGTTCGTGGTTCAGACAGCTAGGGAGATGCTCTGTCAATTGCATTCTTCATATTATTACTCGTAAATACTGAATTAGCTGCTGTGGACCCTTATGAAAAGAAAAAAAAATGGATAAGAAGTAGGGTTTTAAATAATTTCCAATTAATTAAAGTTACTTTAGTTTATTTTAAAACCACACAATATTTGTTATAAAAATAATTAAGCTGTATTTTTGGAACCACAGCTATATGCATAAAATTAAGAATGTCTTTAAATAAAAGATTCCCCTTTCCTAATAACGATTGTATCTTATTTAACAATTGGAGCAAACATTTCAAATATAACTGTGAGTGAAAAGCTGTTTTTTAAAATTTCTGCTCGCATTTTAGAAGCTGACCTGTGTTTTCAGAGATTATGAACAGTTAGCATGCACTGAACATACTGTCATTCCCTCTTTATAATAAACTGAACAACATTTCTTTCTGTAAAAATGTTGTACTTTGCTTAATTGTTAGCACATGGTTTGAATTTTAACTGGTTAAAACAGATTCCACGATAAGACACTATAAATTTCCACTGAAGAAGTATGTAGTCAAAATGTAAAAGGTAATACAAAAATGTAACTGCAAATTAAATGTCTTCAATAAACATGCCCAGTAACAGTTAACATAAAAGTAAGTAATAAATAACAGCTAAATAGTAAGCCTTGTTCTTTTAAGAAATACAAGCATTTTTTGAGCACCCGAGAAAAACTGTACTGATTACATTAAGAATATTTGTATGTCTGAAGTTGACTCAAAAGCTGATGTCTTCATATTGAATTAACAAAGAATTTTTTTTGTATTTAACAATGCATCCTAAAAAATTTCATTTAAATTATATCATGTCTTAAAAGAAATAGATCTAAGAATACATGTTTAGCAATCAGTAGAATTAAAACAAACTTAAAATTTAGGCTGAAAAATTTTAAAGTAATTTTACCCCACTATGCCGGTTCAAAAGCAGCTGTATACTATAATAAGGAACACATCTTACCTCCGCTAAAGATTTGATAAATTCTTGATGTAGTTGAAGCGTTTCCAGTTTTGATTGATTCATTTTGTTCACTTGTTAGTAGAGGACTGGGGGAAGAGGGTCATAAACATCTCTTCGAAAATGACCTTAATGAAAATATGTGTCTGTGCTGTGCCATTGTTTCAGCAGTACTGCTAATGTATGGAACATGTAGTGCTGCTTAGAGGCTGCTGCAGTCTCTCACTCTTCCTACTGTGGAATCAATAAGCATCTGAAAATACATAATGAAAGTAATTTAACATACTGAAGGCTTCTTGTCTCCAGAGACAACATTTAGAGTCAGTCTTTCTAAAAAGGAACGGCACTGCTTTTCAGAGGAAAGCCTGTTCTGGGCAGCTTTTGCAGAATGACAGCCTACCTTGTCGCTTCTCTCCACTGCAGAGAGATGCAGTGCATTCACTAATTTTGATTGGTCAGTTGTATTGGGCTTAAACTATGTTTCATATGTATAGCAGGGATTCCCCCCCCCTACTGTTTTATGTAAGGATGCTTTTTAAAAAAGGCTAAACTTATAAGTGATTATATGTTGTTCTTAAATAGAATATGTGTAAATTAGTATTTTAAAAATGTATATTCTATTCTGGTTTGTTGGTCACTTATGCCAAACATTAAAAATTTCAGGGAGGTAGGGGAGAAAGAAAGACATCATAAAAAGTATATATTCTTTTTAAAGCCTTGATAATTACACTTGAGGACATTTTAGTCTCATATATGTTTTTGGTTGAGGTTCTTTGTTCTACAAATAGAAACCCACTGCATCTTAACTGTGAGCCACATTGAATTTCAACTAGTTTGTTTGTATTCAAGTCATCTTCTCTGTATATTCCAAATTGTTGTGAACATCTCAAGGTATCAAACATTGTCATGACTTCAGTACTCATTCATTCAGGTATTCATTCATTCAGAATATTAATCAGATGGATCTAAGGTGATTATGCCCTAAAATATATTCGTTTAAAATTGTATTGCTTACAGCATAATCTCAGTATATAAAACTTAAATCATTTGTATTACTTTTGGATATTACTATTTGGTCTTTTCCTCTGGTAATCCTTTTATTTGATAGATGTGTACTCATTATTTGCCGTAATATTTTATTTGAATTGGCTAGTTCTGTTTCTGACCTAGGCATGTTGCTTAGTGGATTGCTACTTCTTAAATGTTATATGTAACTGCATGCTGATGCTGTTGGTAAGTATATGTGGTAAAGGAAAAAGTAGGTTACATGTCTTTACAAGTTATAAAGCTAAATTATTTTTAAGATAGATATGCTTTCAAAATAAAAATAACGGTTTAACTAATGACTCTAAAATATTATTTTAAAAGCAATTTTCTATTAATTTTAGTTGCCTATAGATAAGTTTCTATTAATAATGAGGGTAAATTTTTTTTGGACTTAAGTATATAT